GTGAAGCGTCTGATGCAGTCACGCAGGCTTTCATTCGACTCGCATTTGCACCCCGAGAGTTCCCACGCCAAGCTGGGCTTAGTATAAGGCCCCTCGAAGTGATTGTAGAATTCCCTCTCGAGGTCATTCCAGGAGCCAATGGAGCCTTCTCCCAGATGGTTCAGCCAAGTCCTAGCCGAATCGGCTAGGAAGAGAGGAAGGTATTGAACCATGAAGTTTGGGTCTGGTGCAGATGCAGCTTTCATGGCTAGGCGGTAGTTCTTGAGCCAGGTCTTCGGGTCAGTCTACCCATCGTATTTCTCGACATGGCTCGGAGTGTGGAATCTCCTGAGCGTGGATGCTGCCCGAACTCTACTCCCAAAGGCGACTGGCCCGACCCAGTCTAGGGGGGGTCTATCATCAGGGGCGTCCTTTCTTGTGTGTCCCTTGGGTTCCTCCTAGTCGGTGAGCGATCGCGCTCGCAATCCCAGCGGGAGTTATGCCCGTTGTTTTCTCCATGCTCGTGGTTGCGGGCTTCACTCTCACGCCTCTGTGCGTCTATGGTGGGGCATACATACATCACTGTCCACTCGATTGTGGACGGAGTGCCGATGAGGTTATCATGGCTAGTGTTCGCCATTGCCTTCTCTAGGTGGGTTTCGAGCCCCTGAGTGTTGCCGGTTGTGACTGCAGGAACCTGAGGCGCAGCTTGCATCAGGTATCTTATTAGCCACGCCCGCGATCAGGTCTTGGATCTCTCAGAGTCCTTGGCGTCCCTCCTCGATTGATGGTAGCGGCATATCTGCCGCCACCTGTAGGGCCTCGGCCAAGTTTGGGAGGGCTCCGGGTTGCGGGCGGCCTTCTTGCTGTATATCGTTGTGGACTTGGCGCCCCAGGCTCCGATTTTCTCCTTGAGTTGTCAATGAAGGTGCCTGTTATCGTCGGCTAGTGTATCATTACTGCTGAGGAGCTAGGCCTAGATCTGCTAGCTGGTCTCGTAGGGGACCTTGAAGTTGACATGGGGGACATGGTCGCCATGATTGGGAGTGTTCACATAACACTCGTGTAGAGGTGGGAGATCGTTGCCGATCTCTTCACCTTCCGAGTTATACTCGGCCATCGATTGGTTATACTCCTTCGAGTCGATGAGGCTAGTGAGGCTCATGTTGTAGTCGATGGAGTAGCGATCTTCATTGACCGATCCTTCCTTGTTGATGTCCCCATCGCCAAGGCTTTGGAGGCTGACCATCCTGATAAATCGGGCGTCATTGTCATCGCGCGGCTCATCGGACTGAACCGGATCAACGTCTTCGAACCCCTTGAAGTGGTAATCGGGGGTGGGCTCAGTGGCTTGATGAAGCCAGTGAGCATGCCTCGCTGCTGCATTCCTGAGCCTGGTTGGGTAACTGGGTGGGACGTAGTCGGGTAGCGGTGGCAGATCTGATTCGGGAACCTAGCGTGGGTCCTTCCAAACCTCGAAAGCTGTGTCAAGGAGGTATTCCTGACAGAACTCATTGAAAGCCTCCTAAGCATGGTGGTCCATATGGTGGGCCAAGGCAAGTGGCCTTTCCTCCATGATGTCCTCGATCCCGGTGAGGAATGTGCAGATGGCAGGCTGCTCCTCCTCCTCCTGCACGGGTGGTTCAGGATCTTGCAGATGCAAGTTCCTGAGCTGGTCGGTGATGAAGTCGAGGCTGCCAATGGTGAGCTGGTCGCCCAGCTACATCTTCTTAGCATCGTCATCGATCCTAAAGCTGAGATCCATCTGAAACACGATGAATCTACACGCAAAAGGCCCTTACCTGGCGCGCCAACTCTCAGAAGTATTTACTCCAGCAATACGGAGAGTGTATACACACATAGGGAATTAGATGGGTAGCACATGAGACACTGGGTTTATACTAGTTTAGGTACATGGTACCCTACGTCCAGTTCAAAGTAGATCTCTCTTTGTTCATATGCTCGGTTACAGGGGGTGTTGATTGTAGCTATGCCTAGATGGAAGCAATAGAATGGCGATCAGGAGGTCCCTACCCCTCCTTATATAGCCTAGGGGGTTGGGTTACAATAGATCCAATCAGCTAATAGATGTATTTCCTAGTTTATTACATAACAGATCATTCGATCATATCCCAAAGATGTCGTAACGCCGGCTATCTACACTTGCCGACTTGATCATCATGTCTGCTAATGCGCCCGGTGTATTTTGGCCTCGTACTTCATCGTCTTCAGCTCATTTGATAGGATTGTGCCAGATATACAGGCGGTGAGGTATCCCTGGCCCATATATCCGACAAGGGTCTTCTCCAGGAAGGCCAGGAAGTGTGTCCAAAGGATTTTTCAGGTGATTTGGCTTTGGGACCCACACTTGTTTTTGATGTGGGTCTTTGAGTGGTTCCTCAAACACTCCATCTTATGTGGTTGGGTTTGTAGGCTTGGATGGAGTGCTTTTGATCAGTTTGGGGGTAGTGGAGGAGTTTGGTTTCTCACTCGGCTTCAAACCACTACACTCACCAATTTTGCCATAAAGCTAGTCACTCTCAACACCCTCTCCATCAAGGCCTAACCTAGGTCCACCGATGCCATGCTTAAACTGTTGGACGACTATGGGCGTATAACACTCAGTAGATGGCCAACCAAATTTTGTCAGCACTAGCGCACCATGTAGGGGGTGTGCATGCTAATTCCATGGCTAACCAGATGGTCAACTTCCCAAGCTACAAGAACTCCATCAAGCCAGGCCAGTCATTTACGATTGGATCCATGACTTGGGTCATCAACGCTAGTGGCAATGGTGAAATCATGGGGACAATGTAGGATAATCTTGCCCTAAACATGTTGGCGCCGATCACGCCGGCGTGGACACCTAAAGCTCTGATCTTGGCTCCTCGTCAGGCTAGGAAATCCATTGATCAAGATGATCTGATCGCATCTGTCGATCGGATCACCAATGGCTTAGCCGAGTGCATGTCTCTCGCGGAATCGGTCTTAGATCGATTTACTATGGGTGGCAAGACCCCTGCACTCCAAGGTCACCGTGCCACTAATGCCAAGTACCCTGCTCGTGCACACCATCCGAGGTGGCAAGATGTAGATTGGGTGATCACGGCAACACCGGAAGGGCGCATCATCCAAAGCCGACCACTCCCCGCTATGGGCCTACGTCTTGCTGATTATGAAGGCCCGTTGGAGAGCATGCCGATGCCCTATCCTTCTGGGCTAGTGGGTGCATGTCTGATCTGTCAGGACGTCGTGCACCATCTCTTCATCGACCACACCGAGCGCAGCCATGTCAACGACCTCTACCAGATCGATCTCCCTGAGGCCGACCAGCCTGCACCAACGGTGAACATGGTGCAGATCTAGCAGCATCCGGACAAAACACTCAACACCATCTTGGAGGAAAGCCCCGAGCCGTACTCCGATGGCTCCACCAACAGTTGGCCGCCCTTTCCACCAAGTTTTGTGGGAGAGCTCTTCATGGTTAGCCACGACAGCGTCGTCGTCGATGGAGAAGCCAGTGTCCAGCGCCATGAGCGCGAAACCAGGTACACCAATCACCAATGGCGTCGCCAAGAGGAAGCCAAAAATACCGCTCAAGTCTCCAGAGGTGGTCCGCCGCCTCTCTCCCGCAATCTCCAACAAGAGTTCCTTGTGGTGGACAATCAACAGGTGAAGCAAACACCGAGCGCCAATTTGGCTGTGGCCACCAACGAGTTGGCTAGACTCCCACCAACGCCGGAGGTGCTCAAGATCCAACCGCTGCTTAAAGCAGCCCATGTCCAAGTTAACGACATTCGGAACCTAGTTCTGTCTTTTTTGACCGCGTCGGCATGCAGTCGCAACCCCCGTGGCTCTCGACCTGATGGGGGAAGTCGTTACCACAGCTCTGAACTTCATTGCAACCAGGGATATGGCCAGATCATCCAAAGGGTGTCCAGGGGCAATATTGCAATCAACCTCGGATCGCAAGTACCAAGAGATTGGCACGGCCGACCAGTTTGTGATGCCAACCAGGAGGTTAATCAACCCCTGCGCGGTGATGCTCGCGACCACATCAATGCCAACACCACAAGGGCAAAGGGTTTTTGTGGCGAATTTTTTTATCACAAAACCTTTTTTCTTCTCCACAAATCAGCATTTGTGGTGATTTTTTTAATCGCCACTAGTCGCCACAAATATTCCCCTCATAGATACTCTAGTGATGATTTTTTGTTCTCCACAAATAGCCATACTCATTAGTGACAAATTGTGCTTCCACTAGTAACGTGGCCATTTGAGGCCCATTTGTTGTCACAAAAACATACGCATTAGTGGCAAAAAATCATGCCACTTATAATGTTTGTAGTGGTAATAATAGTTGACACAACTATACATAATTTATGGCAATACAATTGTCACAATTACCATTATAAAAGTGGCAAAATTAATGGTCACTGGAGACTACATATTAGTGACAGAAGTTTCGCCATTACATGAGTTTATCGTGTCGATGCTTGTTCTCACTATTTAACTATAATTGTGTCTAATGGTTTGCCACAATATGTGGTAACTTGTTAACACAAATACTTTTTATTTGTGATGCAAACTCATCCTCACATGTAAGTTACAGTGGCAAACCTTTGTCACACAAAATTATCTTTTTGTGAGAATTGACAAGACAAATTGTATCAATAGTTTCATCACAAAAAAGCATAGCATTTGTAGGAAAATATTAGTCAAGATAAGTTTTGTCACGAGATAAGTTTCAATTGTGTGAAACATATTAGTTGTTGTGGTGACCGAGTCATCATTATTATCCTTGTTATAGTGACAAAAATAACGCAAATAGATGTACACTATAGCAATATGATCCTCTCAAATCTGCATGAATAATATTTATTTCAGTAATTTAAATTTGGCAATCAAGCAGGACACAAATTTGAGAACACTCACAACCCTCAAAATAACTATCTTGACACTACTTTAATGTCTCACAATAATTATTAAACTAAAGGGTTTAAACTCTAAGATGTTGGAGGCTACGAGGCACCAGAATGTATGCGTGCGATTAATTCAGCCAATTGATTATCAAGTTGTTCTCTCACTAGACGAACAACTTCTCCACTCTGTGCTTGACGCAAAGGAGTAAGCTCATCACGTTGGGATTGCTGCTCTTCTTGCAGGTGTGCATTTGTTTCGACCACCGTGGAAACTTGGTCTTCCAAAGCCTGTGCCTGTTGGTCAGCAGTCTCAGCACGTTGCTCAGCAGCATCTGCACGTGCTTGAGCTGCAGCTTCACGCTGTTCAGAAGCTTCAATTTGCGCCTGCAGTCTGATCCTTTCCTTAGCCACTCGGTTTACAGAACGAATGCCAACACCACATGAATGGTTTGGCTTTCGACCAAGAACTAGTGCGAAGTGCTCCACTATGGACACCGGCGCAGAAGAAATTTTTTCTTGATGTATCCCAGCAGCTTCCTGTAGCTTGGTCTGCAAAGCATGAAACAACAAACCAATTAAGAACCCATATACTAAGCAGCAGCCAAAAGCGTTCATGTAATGAATCATAAGTATGAGCACAAATTAATTAGCTACAGGATAGTGTAATGCAAATGTTCTCAGAGTTGCTGGTGTTGAAAACAAAATCTGTAGACATGTTATCTAATAAATGAAAAATGCAGACAAATTAATTAATATGTGAAATTTACAAACAACTCATTAAAACAATATTGTTCATGATTAGAGATATTGCAAACACATCATAGTGTCCAGACTTTTCAACTCATTAAATGAACAATACATCAGAAACTATGTTGTAGAGATAATAACCATGAAAGAGTCATACAAAATTCTATTGGCATATTTTTCATACAAAAACACATCACTTCCACCTAATCCTAGTTCAAAAGGTAGGATACAAATTGACATGTTCATACCATAATTTCTTCACCCGTTGGAATGGACCATGTCCCATCAGCCTTCTCATATGTAGCCCTCCAAACTTGTATAGCAGTAAGCCATTCACCAGTTTCTAGGTCTCGTTACGTTGGAATAAAAAAGCATGTATTCACTAATTCAGAACAATTTATAGCAAATAAAAAATCTGCCTGGTAACTTTTTCTCACCAGATCGTAAGCGATTTGAGTAATTGATCTAGTTCCTACTTTTCTGGTTTATAAATTGCATAAATGTGTCATTAACAATAATGTAGCACTGTAATTTAGGACGAGTAGTATGTACCTGAAAATCATCATCTGTTCACAAATTCCTTATCAACCATTGCCAACCTTCTGGTGAGACATGTTGCGGCCTTGGCTTCTTGTTATGGTAAGCTTGAAGCAGACGATAACGTCGATTATTGTATTGACTCTCTACTTGTCTCATCGCACAATCTTTAACTTCTTCTGAAAGCTCAGGAAACTTTTGTTGTACAACAATGATATAATGTAATAAGCAGCCATTGAATGCAATGATAACCTATGCATGCCAAATATATTTATTTCATATGAAAATTCACTTGGAGTGGTACAGTTCTTACAAGAACTGTATCTCACTTTTAAATAAACTAGCATGTTCTCCACACACTTTTGCAAAATCTTTCGGGAACTTTATATCAATATTGTTTTCTTTTGCTCTTCTCTTGCGAAGTTGATCGTTGGTTGTAACTTTTCTACCACTCTTCTTAGCAGGGTCTAGTTAATATAGGAGGGAAACAACAATAATTAGATGTAATATTTCATATTTCTACTCTGTACTGTACATAAACAATTTCAGATAGTATAACAGTTCCTAGTTACTTTGGTGGTTTTCTAAAATGCGCTGCTTACTATTATGTTGTGTAAAGAAACAATTCCAGATCAGCATAACAGATCCTACTGAAAGTGAGCCTAGGCAATTTAGTGAAATGAACAATAGTGTATAGAAAGATTTTCATATTAGCTAAGCACCTTCAGTGTTGTGTGCTGCAGCATTTATTTGAATATTTTCATCCATGGCCTCATCTGAATCCAAATGATCACTTGTATTGTCAGCTTGAGAGGCACGTGGACGTAACCTACTTGTTCTTTCCCCTGTAGGAGTAAACATTTTATAAAAGCAGGATTTTTATACCAACAAGAATACAAGCCACAAGTGTTCATAGTTGCTCCAGTTCATACGTATGAACAAGTCATCGTGCATTCAATTGAATGAGAACTAACAGGCTTTGGTTAGCTTACAGTGCAATTGGTGGAGACTAATGGAATCAGTATCAATATTAAGATATTGAGTTCCTCATAACTAGAAGATACACCTTATTACCTCGGTATAAGATCATGTAAGTTTCCTAAACATAATTGAAACATTGGACTATGTGACATGCTACAATACATCAGATTTTTTTATGCAGAGAAATTATTTAGTGGAACTGAGTGTATGAATCCTATACCAGAGGTGATCAACTGCTCCCTTGGATCAGATAAAGCAGAGGTCAACTCATCAAATTCTCTATCAATTTCAGCAACAGTTCGGCGAGTCACCCGTGGAGCCATGTCCCCTGTGGAATCAATAAAGATTTTGCCAAAGGAAATAATCTAAAAAATAATAATTTCATAAACATGAATGCCGAAGTGAGCAGGAGTCATGGATGCCCTAGCGCAGCAGTATGCAAGGGCTGGTGTCGAGGACAGGCATGGATGCAATGCGTCTTGATGGATCGAAGGCCGGGGCAGAGGTGTGAGGAAAGCGGCGCCGAGATGGGGGCGATGGCGACAAAGGCAATGTGGATCAGGGCCAGGATGATAGTTTGCAGCGGCATGGATCGGAAAATTGGGGCAGGTGAGTCTCAGTGGCACGGAGATGCGCCGCGGAGGCGTCCGGCCGTGAGGATGGTGAAGCACAGCTTTTGCGGCTGCTTTGACCAAGTTGTAATCATGGGAGGCTACTATTGGTTGCTAGATGTCGGAAGGTTAGATGGAAAAAAAGAAAGAAAGATAGAAAATACTAGTACTCACCTTGCGGACTTTACGGTTGCCTATTTCTCCTCTCACGGAATGGCTTGGCTTATTTCTTCGTAGATGAAAAGGACTCCTTGTTGCTGTATATATATGTTGATGTCCAATGCAATATGGCGGGAGTGAAAAAAATTCACTGAGTAGTTGGAGGGAAAGTAGCGTCATTGGTGAATGGATATTTGGAGGGAACAATTTTTACCAATTACAAGGAGGGAAAAGGTGTGCTCGGTGCAAAAAAAACAAGGCCATAATATTTCTACTGGTAGAATTTATAATATTTAATGGCCAATGCTATTTTCATATATGTGTTTATTGAAAAAAAGCTAATCATTTTAGGTAATGAATAAAATTCGGCTTCTAACCTCTTCAAATAAGATGTGTCACTTGAAATCTTCCAACGGTATATTCTAAAAACAATGTTCTTTCAATGCTATATAACTAATTTAACATTAATATCCAATACAACAAATAAAATATATTCATGGAAGGTGAAGACCTCCATCGACCTGGACTGCAAAAGTTGGCTAGAGTGTACTAAAGGGTCCATGAGTTCCTCGTAGCGGTATAACAGAGCAAAAAACCGTAAACATATGGGCGCATTTGGTTTCTCAGGGAAACTTGACTCGCCTCACCTACACGGAATCCAAGAAACTCGCCTAGCCGAGCAAGCCGTGCGCTCTCGAGCTCTTTTCGAAGATTTTGCTTGCCAGCACAGGCTCCCAAGCAACTCGCCGCTCAACCAAACGTTCGGCTCTCTTGCAATTCCTTACCAAGTAAGGCGAGGCAAGATACGGCCAAGGATCTAAACACACCCATTATCATGGGCCCGAGACAGGAATTAGACATAGAGGGGTCAGTCAAAGATATTCAATACATGTGAACTAAGTGTAGCTCATCTGTTTAGGTTCTTGTTGTGGAACCTGGCACCCCGTGTTAGTCATCGATGTACTTGATCCTATTTTCCTGAATTTATTCTAGTACAGCAACTCATTTGGATGAGCGTGCATGTATGCTTCTAAGCATTTGTCGGGCCCCCCTCAGCATGGACCATACGAATTCAAATGTTCTTGAATACGAATACAAATGGATGGTTCTAATTCAAACCATATTAGAAATGTACTCGATTAATATATAAAATCATAAATAAGTAATTATTTAAATTATATATTAAATATTTATAAAAAATAATATAGAATACCATAATTGTCTATTCATAAAGATCAAACCAAATACCAACATTCAAACCATATTAGTTTTATTTTAGCTGATTTTTTTTACGAATAAGTAACTCACTCATGTATTCATCTTGTCCTTAAGAATCGTTATTTGGGCCTGTGGGCCAAGCATGTATTCGTGTCCCTGTAGCCCATATAGTCCAATGTGGTCTGCCTATCTATCCATCCCGGACTCGCGGTGATGCCGCCTCTGCGAACGGACAAACAGACGCTGCCCTATCCGACACGAACCATCAACACCGTGATCAACGAGGCTGCGCATCGGTGGTGACAGCGGAGGTCTAACCCAGTGAGGCGAGCACAGGCAGCAGGCGTGGTGCGGCCGAGCAGCGAAGGAAAACGGCCTTGCTAGTGCATACATTCGCTGTCTTTTTGGTCAGATTCGAGCAGAAGTAAGCAGGTACTATTTTTCTGTTTGTTCAATTAATGGTTACCAATTGGTTCATTTAGCCGTGCGACCTGTTGTTGCTTCATTGCTCTGTACTTTTATTTTTCATTTGCTTCATTCATTAATTGTCTTATTACTCCATATTCTGCAAATTAATGAAAAACCTGTAGTTATATAGAAACAACCTATATTTCTAACTTCTTTTGTAGCAAAAAGCAACAAAAAATAGTCCTGCTTTTAGCTTTGCTTTCATTTGCACTCTTTTACATGATAAGATCCACCACAATTTATATAAATTAGACGTACATGGCCAATGTGGTTTTACGGATGACGATTATCTGTCATTTTTACTGATGAAGAAGATGTCACTACTAAATCAAGGCCATGTTTAGTTTCCACCAAAATCCAAACTTTGGCACTATGCAAAAAGAAGATTCCCCGTTACATCAAACTTGCGGTACATGCATGGAGTACTAAATGTTGACGAAATAAAAAACTAATTACACAGTTTGGTTGTACTTTGCGAGACGAACGTTTTGAGCCTAATTAGTCAACGATTGGATAATTATTACAAAATACAAACGAAATGCTACAGTCTGGATTGGACAGTACAAACTAAATGTTGACGAAATCAACGATTGGACAGTAATCTACAATAATTTCGGCGGCGCCGATTCTGGGAACTAAACATGGCCCAAGTAAATCCAGTCTGGTGCACAGGAGGCCGGAATGGGGGCGTTGCTGTGGCAGTCTGGCGGAGCGAAGGTGCAGCATGCTGGTGATGGATCTGGAGTGGTGCCGGCGTTCTAGCGCATTCAGGTGAAGAGGAAGGAACTCACGTGTCTGACAACGTGTTGCCCATGTATTTTGTGTTTATAAGAATCGAAGAAAAAGATAGACTAACACGTGGAACCATCTTAAATAGCTTCTGTATGTTACGTGTGTTTAATGAATTAGATTGGATACATGTATTAATAAGGAGCTGATGCATGGGCCCTATTTTAATTAAGCTAGCAAGTCATAACTATGATTTATCATAATATTTTCTCACTAATTGTGTGTCATGTGGTGATATTTTTTCCATTAATAAATGTCATATTAGTGAGGTAAATATTTTTTTTTGCCACAAATATCTTGTTAAATAGTGGCAAAAAATGTTTCGACACTCGATTTGCCACTCAAGATGCTTTCTGTGGCAAATTAATATTTTGTCACTAATAACCAACATAAGAGTGATGAAAGCTAGTTTTTTTCACATATAGTATGGCAAGTAGTGGCAAATTTAAATTTCGCCATAATATTTTGTCCCTAATTGTATGTCTTGCGGCGATAATTTATTTTGTCACTAATAAATGTCGTATCAGTGGGGTAAATATTCTTTTGCCACAGATATCATGTTAAACAGTGGCAAAATAATGCTTCGCCACTTGATTTGCCACTAAAGATGTTTTCTATGGCGAATTAATACTTTGTCACTAATAACCAAAATAATAGTGATGAAAACTAGGTTTGTCACAAATAGTTTGAGCATTAGTGGCAAAGATAAATTTCGCCACATCATTTTATCACTAATGCTCCGTCTTCCTGTAGTCTCGATGCCCGTGATCACATCGAGAACAGTCGTGCCCAGCGGCATCAGGTAGAACTCCAACGCCGATAGGAGTACGACAACCAACACGGTGACCCCGCTGTCCTCCGAGCAGTCCTCGCTATCGAGCCGGTGGGACCCCGCCCCTTCACAGCAATAATGAGAGCTGTACAGTGGCCCACAGGCTTCAAGGTTTTCAGGGTCGATCCCTACGATGGCAAGGCCAATCCCAAGCAGTGGATGCAGCTCTACGAGATCGTTGTACGTGCCGCCGGAGGAAGTTGCGACCTGATGGCAAATTATTTGCCCGTCATGCTCGCCCAATCAGCAAATAACTGGCTCATGGGCCTGAGGGAGGACTCCATTGAATCTTGGGATCATCTCAAGAAAGTCTTCATTGAGAACTATATGGAAACGTGCCAACGGCCTGGCACGAAATATGATCAGGAGAAACTCCATCAGACAGCTAGGGATCCTCTACGAAGCTACATCAAGCGTTTCTCGGAAACAAGGAACTCCATCCCCAACATCAACGACAGCGAGGTCATTGCCGCCTCCACCAGAGGACTCCATCATCACTAGGAGCTGTGCTCCAAGCTCTACCACAAGTGACCCCAGACCATCGGTGACCTCCTGAAGGTAGCAAACTCATACGCTGACTCCGAAGAAGCTGATCGGCAATACAAGGACGACGTTGCTCGTGCCTCCCGCTCGGATCGCCCCCCACATCGTGATGATGATCGCCACAAAGAACGACACTATGGAGACCGCGATAGGCGCTATGACGGTCGCGAATGCTGTCATAATGATCGGCCAGAGGGATCGAGGGCTGCACAGCTACGTCGCCGCTGACCAGACAATTTTGTCAACACTGTAGAGCAGCCACGCGCTAAGCACAATTTTAATGCTAACTACGAGAAGCTCCTCGACGGCCCATGCCTGATTCACAAGAACAACAAAGATACCATGCAGCAATGCTATGGCATGGCCAAAGCTTTTTGCGATGAGGAAAAGAAGAGGCAGATGAGCAAGAAGGACGAATCAGACGACGGCAAGACCCGCCTTCTAGGATGCCAACAAGACCGTTGCCATAATGTTCATAGGGTACGCCGCCTCCGAGAGCAAATGCCAGCAGTAGCTCACCACTCGGCTCGTCATGTCGATCACCAAGCAAGACATGGTTGTCGACCCCAAATATCTGGACTGGTCGGAGCATCCTATCTCCTTCAGTAGGGCCTACCAGTGGGCAGATATCCCGTACCCAGGGCATTTCCCACTTGTGCTGGAACCCACCATCTGCAATGTGTGGTTTAGGAAGGTCCTCATC